ACGGCAAATGTGGAACGCCAACGCCAGCAACCTGACTCTGACTCGGGCTTCGGAATGCCGTCAGCTGCAGACCGGAGAACTGGAGAAAACCAGCAGGCCAAGCGCCAAGGGCCAACGGGCCTCGGTGTTGCGGGAGCCGTGCGGAAGCTTGTCATCCTGCACCTGCAAGCGGGAGCCATGACGGCCTCTGGCATCAAAAGACATGTAACCAGACACCCAACTGCCCACCTCCAAGAGTCTTTTGGCAGGGTGCTTCCCACGGCTGGAACGACTCCGGCTCTGGCAGAGAAGCACCTATAGCTGGGGCACGATCCAGAGCTCATATGACCCGAGAACCCACAGACCAGATTCCGCCTGATCTTCAATGGGCTCCAGGCAGTTCTCCTGCAATGGTGGTTCGGTCGTTCGTGCTTTGACAGAGCATGGCCTGGCCGTCCTGGATTACTTGGTGGCGGACATCCGCCGACGCAAAAGGACTAAGCCTCAATTCGGGCATCCAAATACTGTGACGTGAAACAGCGCCGTACTGTACAAGAAACTCGGTGTGAGACAGAACTAAATTCTGATCCAATGTCGGTTGGACCACCTGACACATTGACAAATCTTCACCTACAACCCGAACACCACGAAGCGCCACTTGAGTGGGTCATCGGCTTTGTGGCCTGCTCATCAAACCCTCGGCTTCCTTGAGCAAACTCGATCGACTCGAGCTTCTCCTGAGGATCATTTGAGCTGGTTTGGCCCATACGGTTGCTGCCGCTTGGAGTCTGGCTTCCAAGCTCTGTTCGGTTTCAAACCTTCGGGAGCAAAGGGCGGTCGAATTTTTGCGGGTTCACGAGAACGTTCTGCTCGCAGCCTCTGAAGGAATGTCTTCTGCGAGAAAGCCCCGGCGGCTGACGACACGCTGGCCTCGTCCGGAGCGTGTCTGACTTGCCTCTATATAGACAATGTGGACCTGGCCTCCCAAACTAAAGTGTCGGGAGCGCCCCGACAGCTCACGGGACACTCGATGGCGATTTGGCTTTGCGCCATGGTGTCCCCTCGTTTCCCGACCCTCAAAGTGACAGCATGTTCTACTGTGCACTTAAGCCAAAACCGAGGCATGCATCAGTCGACCCAGACAGACCAGGCACGCAGTGGCAGCATCCTCAATCTACAAATGGCATGTCGTGCAGCATCAATGAGGAAGCTCTGCGACCTCAGAAACCTTGTTGACGCTTTGCTCGAACGTGAGATGCTGCTGCCTGAGATGGCGCATCGGCCAGGGCATTTTCAGGTCTGCACGGGGGTACTGGTATGCAAAATCTTGTACATCCACTAGAGGGCGCGATTCATGTGTCCCGGGCCTGTTCACATCATCGCCCTTCATTCTGAGCTCGTTAACCTTGCGGAACAGAAGCACGGAAGCTGCACACCCAGAACGCAACAGTTGTTGCTGCCGAGGCACCTCTGTTTGCAACTGGATGATCTGCTGCTGGAGCTGCTGATGCGTGTGAGCATAAGCCTCCCAACTCTAGCCGGCTCGTCTGCCCCCCTGCATTTGCTCTAATTCCTATGTCTGCGGCCTTTTTCAAGGTTTCCAGCTCCAGCGTCTTGAACCTGGCTCGAGGCAGCACGAGGCTGTATGCACCCCAGCGACTCTGTGACAGACACAAGCATGCCACGTTCACTGCAGTTGCTCCGACAAAGACTGGCACTCTGCATGGACCTGCGAGAGACTGAATGGCAATTCTTGCTACTGGCAGTGCTCCTGTCACCTCCTGCTCAAAATGGCTTTTCGTTTTCTTCATGTTGGCGATCTCTGTGTACCTGGTCTTCTGTGATCTAGCTCTGCGACTGGGAGATGTCTGGAAGAATCTAGCCTCGCTGCTTGGGAACAACTTGCGAGGGCACGCGTCAGTCAGCTTGTCTCGCAAATCGGAGATCTGCGACTGCATTTGCTGCTGCACCTTTCCAGGCACAGCAATGCTAGGCAAGCACCTTCAAGCAGGCCAGGTCTGCCGGAGATGCAGCGCTCTGGTAGGGCTTGCACGGTAGCAGTGTTTCGTTTGAACTCTGTCAAATCCGTGTTGTTGGACGTAATACCTGTCATTGTCCAAAGTGTGGGGAAGCACGTGGAGAAACACCGTTGAACGAATCGACTGCATGTCGAGGGCGATACCATTGCGGATGATGCCCATTTCTGCCAGCCTCGAAACAGCACAACTGAGGTGAAGTCACAAAAACCAAAGCCCGGTTCCGAGGCAAAAACATCTGCTGAAGGGAAGAGTTGCTGCGCAACTTCATCTCCTGAACCCACCCGTGGATGTGGCGTGCAAAAGCTGGTCTTCTTGCTTATCACACCAGATCGCTTGCTGCAGCCCATGGCTCGGAAAGCCACTGTGCAAACGCCAGCACTGTGACGTCCAAGTCCTTCGTGAAGCAAAGGCTTGCAAGCAATAATACATCGAGCACGCCTCCATTCATGTAGCAAGTCCTGCGCAGAAGGGAGGCGCTTGCCTCCGCCATCAATCCTGACTTGAAAGATGCTGTCGGCAATTTGATCTCTGAAGCTCCATCCAAGCCGGGCACTCTATGCCACCAGGATGTGCCATGCTTGCCTTATCGCGAATGACACTTCGAGGACAAGATATGTGAGCTGAAAAGAGAACGTCGAGCGAGCCGCAGTGCTACGGGGTCCCTTTGCCCGCAGCCTAGCTACAGCCACAGCCTTTGCCTTAAGCCAAAGCTCAAGATAGAGCATGATAGAGCTAGCATCAATTGCAGGTCGCCGGCAAGAAACACAGACACACACACACACACACCTACGTCAGTGTTTTCTGAGAAATTTATTTTCTTTGTTGCCGCACTCTGTACAGTGTTGGTGCTGGCTACGCAGTCACAGTGAGTCATCCCCCCACACTCAGGATGGTTTGGCCTTGGTGCCGGCAGCCACATTCACGACTGGCACATGCATAGCAGGAAACCCTACTGTTTCGATCTTGACCTGGTCCATCTGACACAGTAGCCGTAGTGGAACTCACTCATTGAGCAATGGTGACCTGTTTCTTTCCCAAGCATAACTCGCTTTCCGTGCGCCCCCACATGTTGTGGGGACCCATCCATCCGATGCAAGAGCAGTTTGGTTCCTGCTCTGCTTCGCCCTTGTTAGGAGTACGGATCACCACTTCCATCACTGAAACCCTGTCCAAACTCCCTTCCAGGTATGCGAGTCTCCACGTCCGATGAGATTCGAATCGGCATGGTTGATAAGTTGTCGGGCCGTCCTGCCCCCCCCCCTCCCGTCGCACTGAATCATGCTCCAACAGTTTCGGTCGTCTGAAAGCAGGGTACGTTGCCCGAGCCCGCCCACCAACCTGAAAACAAAAAACGATTGAGAACGGCAGCAGCAAGACTGGAGTGGGTCAACGACAAACATGCACGTCATCATTCCCATCCCAACCCCTTCACCCTTCGCCCAACCCAAGAGAATCGACATAGAATAGATCCACATAACAAACGCAGGAATCACAGAAAAAGGCTTCTACACCGTGCATACTACCAATGCAAAAGACACGCTGTTGACTCTCCCACCAGGGTTTGCTCCAACCTGCACAGCCAAGAGTTGTAGCAAGGGCAAAGCACGAGTCTTGATTGGCACGCCATCATGCCTCACACCACCACGACCACCTAGAACCCTTTCAGCAGGAAAAAACCCTCAAAAAATCAAGCCTAAGCAAAGAACACAAGCCATGACAGAAGTTTGCCATCAAAAAGCATAAGATTTTGTAACTAACGACGCAAAAAACAACTTGTTGGACCGCCTTCGAAAGAAGCATCCAACCTTCGTCGTCTTCGCATGCTTGAAATCGACAGACCCTCGCGACGGCATTTGCAACAATAACACAACAACAGCAGCAGCATGAACAGCACAAGCATCAGCAACACCCCAAGCTCACCTCCACTGATAACAAAGAAGCAAACCACGAAGCAAGCAAAATGCAGTAGCACTAGCGGAATGCCGAAGAAGACACGGAAAATCGACAGCGAAAGGCAGAGAGTGGTTGAGACTAAGAGACGATAGAACGCTCTCAAACTGTTGCAATCTTGTGAAGTCCTGCTCAGACAGGGAAGCCTGAACACGAGCCTCGGAGTGCGCCACACTGCTGGAGCCACTGCTAGGTTACCATCTAACAAAAACGACGCAACGAATGCTTGCGTTGCGAGGAATGCCTTTGGGCTCCATGCTCAAACATGCCAGTATGCCAGCTGCCATCCTGAAGCAGCCGGGAAATGGTCGCAGACGTAGCCACGAGAATGGCAGATGGCCTTCTGCAGGTCTCATCTGCTTCCTTGAATGGCAGGGCCTGCGTTGGGATCCGGTCCGGCCACGCAGCGTTGCTATGAACCCTCCTGCCTCCAACTGGTCGATGATCCCTCCTTTGTCCAGAACCGTTCCCTCACATCCAACCAACACGATGCGAGACCTGAGAACCACGAGATGTTGCACTGGCGCATCTCTCGCGACACCAGCCAAGGCCACGACAGCAAGAACAAGCTGCAGCGTCGGACTTGCGATTCCACATGATGCAGAGCCTCTCAGAATAAGTTCCCAAGGCATTTCACTGACAAGCCACACTATCGCACGGCCTCTTCCGCCAATTCCACGCAATGCTGACAGAGCACTTCGCGGTCCGGGCAAGCTCGGCCCGCACATTCAAGCATGACCTGAGCTGTCCAACCGCAACCATGGCGGGAATCGCAGGAGCAGGTCGAGCCAGGAAGCACACCGCTAGTGACCGGAGGAACTCCGCGAACAGATTTGGTTCACCTTCAATGTGAGCGTGACTGTCTTGTCAGTCGTCGGGCACGATACATGATGAGACTGTGCTATGCAACTAGGGATCTTGCCCACAGCCCACTTGGCTGCTCCACCATCAGGCTGCTTCCACCTAGGCTGTCTGTCATCCAAGAAGCAAACAAACGCGAGCCATGTGCACCGTTTCAGGAAGTGGACCTATTCACCAGCGGAAGTAAGAAATGACGTGCTTCTGCGGAGAACCTATCGCGACGTCAGAAGCCACTTCATGCCACGTCTTGGCACTCCCGACACAGCCGGCGTCTCCTGTTTCTGAAGGATGCCGGCATCCGCGTGGCTGATGCAAACCGACGCGATTTCCCTGAAAGCTGTTGTGGTGGCGAGGACCCTGGACTGGCAAGGATGCAGCTGGAACCTTACACTTCATGTGGAGGCACGCACAGCGGTCGTGGCCTGCGGCCTTGGTCTCTTCCACCTTGCACGTCCCAAACATGTTGACCAAACGCCAATTAGCAGCCTGCCATAGCCTGCTGTCCGGCCCCCCGCCCCCCCCGCCTCCTTGCTCGAAAGCTTTCGCGCTGCGGAGGAGAGGGCGAGCAAAAGCGAACGGCGCTCGTTCAAGGAGAGATCCTGGGAGGTCGTTGCCGAAACGCAAGGAGCCCACTCCGAACGCTCTGTGCTCCTCAGTAGTGAAGTTTGCAGTGAGGCATTGAACAGCTTGGCGCCGGCTGGCATCAGCCACCAGCAAGGCCACGAGAGCCTGCAGGGAGCGGGTGCGAGAATCCGGCGGGTTTTGAGTGGCTGCAACACCACGGCCTCGACTCTCATGTCCTGGAGTTCTTGGCCACTCACCTGCAAAAGGCAGTGCCTCTGGCATTCCGTGTCGTTCTTCGTCTGCTCCGTTGCTCCATCTCTCTATCCGTGTGCTTCTGTACAGGGCAGACCCCATCCCATTTCATTACACCGTGGCAATCGTTTCAGTGAAAGTTCTTGACGAGAGAAAACTCGCTGACAATCTCCTGCTGGCGTGCCGGCATGGCATGATGGATCCCTTATCTCCTTTTCCAGCACAAAAAGGGATGGCTTATGTGGGCGCAAAACACGTGAAACGAAAAGCGTAATGCGGCCCGTCTTGCCCACCATTGTCAAACGATTGCTGGGGATTGCAAGGTTGAAAACACAAAGCTGTGAGATTAACAGTTGGGGCCCTGTGGCAAGCACTTGAAGCGCAAGTTCAACATGCAGTGAGAGGATCATGCAGTGAGAGGCCGACGAACATCATCATTGACTGAGAGAGCCCTCTGCTGATGGTTTCGTGACGAGCTGGGCAATCAGAATCAGATGGGTTCATACAGCTGGCAGCTAGCCACCCCAAGTCTTGCACCCTAAGCCTGATCAAGTGTGGGCAAATCCGCGCATCAGGATTCAAGCTCAAGGTGCTGGAGACTGTTGCGGCTGAGGCTGAGGGTCCTGTCGCGGTTTCCTGCATGATCCTTTCCGAAGATTACATGAAAACCGGCATCAACCGATCAGCCACCCCCAGCGGATTCAGCAGTTGTTCTTTGTATATTCTTTGTTGTGTTGTTCTCCTCCGCTATCGATCCTCTGCCGCTCCCCAATGTTGGGATTCAGGACAAGACGATGTATCGATACGTTCCGGATGTGGCATTGTCAACAACCGCTACGACACAACATCTACGAAGACGCAGTGAAGAACTAATTCCCCCACTCCTGTTCCTTCGCTCGGTGTCCAACATTTGTTGGGCTGAAGGGTTCGCGCCGATCCAGCAGACTCTGCAACACGCTGACCGTGGGCATGTGTCTCGCCTCCATGCGGAGCAGACGAACGCAAAGGGGCTCCGCAAGCCTGGAGTCGACAAGCAATGCAACAAGGTATGGCAAGAGCCATGAGTCATATTGGCGAAAACTGTCAAAGGAGCCGATTGCCTGGGAAGATCATCAGAACCCGCAGCAAGCAGCGCTGGCAGGTCTGCCTGCAAAACTTGCCGAGACAGGTTCCGAAAACCCAAAGCTCGAGCAAATCATCGATGCTTCCTGTACAAATATATGTTAAGTGACAATGTAAGTAACAATGTTAAGGCTTCGACCAAGGCTGTCCAAATTCTGGCACGGGCCACTGCCTTGAATCTCGGCTGGTGCACCACACTGTCTGCAGCGGGCATCGTTTAATTAGTATAAAGATCTAAGGAAACGCAGCTGCTTCAGGTCTCCCGAAGACCAGTGCACCGAATAGTCGGATCCAAACCATGAGGCTCGTCTGCCCTTTAGTGACGCTTTCTCATGCCTTCCACTGATCTTGCGGACGGTTTTTGAGGCAATGGCTGGAGGTTCCGGGGCGGAGCCTGGCTTGCCGAAGGCCTTTCAGGAAGAGCGAATCCGGCTTTGCGACTGGAATTTGTTGCTCACTCCTCGTCACTCAGCGGCGTGGAGGGGGTTTTTGCAGGCCCAAGCCTGTTGTGCAGTTGCATCTTGACCGTCAGCAAACGCAGATATTATTGAGAGGTCATGGGTGCCCCACAGCATCTCGTACGCACTTTGGAGAAAGGTGGGATGCCTGCAGTGCTCCAAGACAGTTCTTCACACATGAACTTAATTCCAAGCATCCCAGTGCCCTGATGAGGCAAGAACTGGACGAGGAGCAGGTCAGAGCAGGAGTCGTTTTGAACATCCAAGGGCTGCAAGGGAGACAATCCACCTGCGACCGATCCGGCGCAGTTGGTTCTGCCACGCCAAAACGTATGCATCGACCCTCGTCTGCAGAGGTCCGAGGTCAGCGCGGAGCGGATGGCATTCCTCTTCGTCGTCGCTGTCCTCTTCCGGCACCATCTCTGGCTCCGCTTTTGACAAGGTCTGGCCAGGAAGCTCCTTGTGCAAACATGCTCAAAGTTGCGACATGCTGGAATACAAAGCCACACAAGGGGCCTCCTCCTCCTTCTCAAAGCTTGCCTCAAGCACACGGTTGCCAAGCATGCTGACTGCCCAAACTCTACCCAGGTCCATCCAAGCTCCCAACGACTGATGGAACTTGTGGATGTGATTCTGCCACAACTTGCATGGCGACCTGTGCAATCAGGGATCGAGAAGCGGGGCCGTTGTCCGCGGATAAGTTAAGACTTATACGACTCAGTCGCCAACAGCTTCGAAGTCGGTGCCTGCCAGCTGAAAGTCTGCCACCTCTTCGACAAGGGAACGAATCTCTTATGTCTCATGCTTTCTGCAAACATCACCCAATTTGCAACCGAGTATCAGCTGCATCGGCCCTTGCACGAAAGGTGCTTCAGTTTAGTGTTTGATGGTGGTTGGACGGTCTCATTGTACAACACACGTTAACTGGCGGTGATAAGTTTGCAGAGCCATAACTTTCAAGTGTCACCAGTGTCACCGTATGTCATCGTCATAATCGTGTAACGTTGTATATCGTGTTAATAACACTATGACTATACAGTTAAGCAGAGCGTGACACACCGGACCTTCAGTTGTGACCTGTAGGCAGAGGACTGCCACACTATGACGAATTGTTCCACCCAGGTATCCGAAAGCGTACCCCTTGCGAAAACATCAAGCAAGCCTGTCGAAGCCATCAAATCGGAGCTGCTTTTGTTGCTCATCGACTCCCGAGCACCAGCGCTCGGCCAACTGTTCGGCCAAGGCCATTCCAAGCAATCGTCGCTCTTTCGTCTGCGCAGAGAGCCTGAGATGAATACCTTGCAACAAATACTTCGAGGAATGTCCAGGGATCGGATCTTGGTCCGCGATGTGTACACGCGCTGCTCTTGCAAGTCTCAGCGCCAAGTTTTGTTCCGCCGCGAGGTCTGAAGACTGAAAGTGCGACGGATCGGCCCATGCCTCTAACCAGTGTGCATAGGCTGCCAACCAGCATTCTGCTCCAGCTGCATGCATCGTGTCAACTATAAAGAAGACTGCTGCCGATGACAAGTCACTGCCACATCGTTTCTGCCAAAGCTGGACGGCAAGAAGCTGCTGGATGGGGCGGCCAGTTCCTAACGATGGATGTATCAATGCGGAAAAGCGTACCATGCCTTCGTCCCCGCAAACGACAAGCCGACAGCCAGACGTCTTGAAGTATGTTCCTGTTTCGCGCAAAATTGCGCAAACCAACGCTCTGCTTGCATGCGGATGCTGGTCTGCCAATTTTGATATTGATTTCCCCAACACGACGGCGAAATCCATTGAAGTGAGCGTCGCCTTGCAAAATGCACGAGCGAGGGCTTCGGCATTGCCCCTCAGGGATATGCGGGCCAAAATGTCCCAGCACGAAGGGTTCATCTCGAGATGATGGAAACATGGTTCCGAGCACATTGCCATCAGCTGTGCTTCAACAAGCCTGTGCAGGTAAGAAGACTCCAACCATTCTACGAAGTCTTTCCCAGTAGGCTCATAGAAGATCCTCGCACACGCAGCTGCCAATTGATCTTGCAAACCACAGAGCCATCCAGAAGCTACCTGAGCAACTTCCGGAGAGAACATGTGGCTCCTCCGCACCAATGCTGTAACTACTACCTCCAAAGCTCCACCAGCTAGCCAAGATTGTACAAACTGAAGGGCCAGGAGAACATCTGCAGGCAGTGCACGTTCGAAGCCCTGCCGCAAGGCTAACAACAGACCACCCAATGTCAAAACTGCCGTCATTGGAAATTCATCTCCAAGATCTGCAGCAGACACGAAAAATGTGGACAACGCTCGCTGTAACTTCAAGCGGCCCGAAGCGGCTCCCTTCAGCACATGTAACGTTGATCTTCGGGCAAAAAGCCCCACCTGCTCTGCCGTGTCACTGCAAAGCAACGCAATGGCAGCTTCCGAACTGTTCAACACAGCGCATATCCTTCCTTCTGCGTACGCACCATCTGCATCTGCCCCACTTTCGGTGAACTCGTCCAGCACTTTGTTTAACTCTTTGAAAGATGATGAGACCATCATGGCAAATAAGTCGGCAACAGCATTCTGGAACCTGCTCACCCCGAGAAACGGCAACATCAATGCAATATGTCTTTGCTTGGTCAATAGCCTGACTCGGCACGCATTTGTTTCAGACCGTTACAGGCAAACTTGACTGCTCAGTACACGTATGATATAACGCTTTAATGCATCAGGCACCTGTTTGGCTCCGGACATGCACTGAAATGAATGCAGACAATTCTTGGCCCGTCCCGCCCCCCCCCCCCCACACGCCACACACGAACATCAAGAAAACGATCAGCGGTATTTCACCGTGCGACATTGTCACTGGGGTGCGGCGGCTATATAAAGCTTTCATCCATCATCAAGGAAGCATAAGCAATATCTGGTGAAGCATGGTGTGCACATGGGAGCTCTTCCGCACCCTCCTCGACTGCCCGCGGGCGCTGACATGTCGAGATGCAGGCCAGGACTCTACTGTTCTTGGGTGGTGGCAGTTGGGGCACGCCAAGGGGCGCGAGTATCTGCAGGACTGTTGCCAGATCGCTTGGCAGCCCGACTGCAGCCATCAAAACGATCGCACCTGTGGGGACACTGTCCACCCAAAAATGGATCGGAGCCAACGAGTCCTCTGTGAGCACTTCAGGAAGCTCGAAATGCCGACATGCCCTGGATCCTGCCAATTTGACATACAAGCCGTGGACATGCGACCCAACGTCTTCGTAGGTCTCGCTTCTTGGGTCTCGCAGAGAAACAGAAGACAAGTCCTCTGACATCCCACAAGCAGCAGTCAGCTTTGCAGCGGGAAGTGTTGTCTCTGCCTTGTCCGACTCTACAAACCACCCAGCGCGGCCCCCATGACGGCGCCATGCCACTTGCCGAAGTCGTGGCACTTCTGGCCGGGGAGCCGGTGCACGAGGGGAGATGTGCGTCAAGCGTCCGAGATCCAAGTGGAATTCTCGCTGCAGCTGCTCGAAGATGTCGAACCACTCCCCCAATGCAGCCGACAACAGGTTCATGGCGCCTTGCGAAGCTGCCACTGGTATTTCGAGGCATTCGGGTTCCCGGCCGTTCTTGTAATGACGAAAGAACTCGCCATCCTCGTTCAGCTCCAAGCCCGCCGTGTCCCAGGAATTTCCGCTTGCTTGTGCCTCAAACTTCTCACGATCACGCTTGACCCAGAGCCAGTAGCCCATAAATTCCTCTGCAAAGCGCTCTACATATTCAGCGTCACGGGACCTGTCCGGCCAGAAGTCTTTCCATGCGTTGTCCAACACCCGATGCCATGGCTTTGCAGTCGGCTTCCCCGAAAAGTGCACTACTCGGATCTTCTCGGGTGTCTGCACTAGAACAGATCTTTCCGCATAGTAGGCACGGTCTGGGTGCAAAGCGAAAAACATTTGGTGCAGCTGAAAATTATACTCCACGCCGATATAGGTCCAAGGCGCATCTGCCCAAAAACGACTTAAGTAATCTTGCTCAGGGCCGTTTCCCTTCACATGTTCTGGGTGGTTGGGCTCGGTAAGTTCGTCGAGCATCTGATCCAGGACAGCTTGGTCGGGCTGCCACAGCATCACACCAGCGTTGATCCCTGTGCCTTGTCCCCAGGACCAACGTGGCATAGATTTGTCTGCACCCAAAAAGAAGACACGACCGTCCACTGGTTCGCCATGACCGAGAAAAACCTCGTTCATGCCACGTCTCAAGGCTGCTGGCGGGGTCAGCTCGAAGAGGTCATCTATGTTTGAGCGCACCAGGAGGTCGATGTCCATCATGAGAACCTTTGAATACTCCGTTAATGCGAGGCCGTTCAATTTGGAAAAGACTTTCGCAAAACGATCTTCCTTGTCAGGGAAGCTGAGTTGATCCATTGCAACATCAATGTGGCTCATGGGCCTGCAAAGCCAAAGCTTGGACAGCAACTTTATGTGCGAATCCGGTACATCATTTGTGTACAGGCACACCCGATCGTGTGGCGAACCTGTCTTCCTGATGGAATAACCGAGCACCAAAGCACCGAGAAGGTACTCGCGAGAAGCACCCCACAAACAGATGAGGAAAGCACACTTTCCACGAACCTCCGGCGGAGGAGCTTCATTTGTTCGGCGGTGCCCGAGTTCGATGTTCATGGGTCGCTTGCAGGAAGGACAGAACGCACTCCATGTGCCCAAGGTTTTTGGAAAGCCGAACTTCACACAGGTACCTCGCAAGGGTGAAGATATGCGAAGGCCTACTCTCCGCCAAAGTACCTTCAACCCTGCCAATGCTGTCCAGGCTGAAAGTAACAAAGCTGGAGCCACCAGGAACTTGCCGCGACCAGGCCATGAGTGTCTTGCACGCAGCAGAAGCATCAACGCAAGAAGCGGCGACAGGGCATCGACCACCAGCTTCTTCCTCCAAACCTTCAGGCTTGATTGTGGCACCATGGCCATCGCCTCATTCACCTCCCGAAGTGCCAAAGCTTATGGCATAGCAGCAGCTGGAACTCTTCAACAGGCTGCAGATGTTTATGGGTGGACTGACTTCAACCTAAGAAGCTCAGCAGCAGGTTTAAGGAGCAAAAGTAGACAAGGTGGTAAAGAGGGTCTAGCCGTCTAGCCGATGGTCACGGGAACTCGTGCTGTCTCTCACCCTGGCACTCGGGCTATGAGCCGCAGCATGGAAGGCACCACAACGCAATAGCACTAGCAGGTTGAGCCGCCTGACAAGCGTCTGAGAGATTTTTCGTAGCCGAGAGCCAAGCCAAAGCTTTCCCTATAAGAGCCTACGCGGTGAAACTCGGCCAGAAACCTCACGTGGATTTGCTTTTCACCTCCCCACAATCCACAATGGTCACCTGCATGGCTTTTGCTTGCATGTAACAAACAGCAGCTTGAATCCTGTGCACTTGGCACCTTCAAGAATTTCAATGACTTCCGAATTCCGCACAGTTGCTGCCTTGTCCTTCGGAGTTCCGTTTGACGAGCCTTCGGCTCGCGTCTTTGGTCAGTGAACCCTTATCCCGTCCGCGGCATGAAGCTGCATCTTGTATGCATGCTGTGCAGCCGCCTGTGGCGCCCATCTTGTTGACAATGTCCTCAGCCACCGCGGCACAAGCATAGGGCAAGCCACGTAGCAAAGCAACTAAGGACTTGGCAAGACCTTCTGTTACCTGCCCAAAAAGGACGTGCTTCCCGTCTAAGTGTGTACCTGAGCGTACAGCCGACCTCATGCCACAACACAAGCCTTGGTGCGAATCCGTTTCTGTAACGAGGAATGCTGCTTCAGTGTTGCAGCATGTTCCACGAACGGCGCTCCTCCGGAAAGTCCGTTGCAGCGTTCTGTTGACCACAACTTGTGTGCCTCATGCTTCCCTGTGTGTCCCAAATTACCCCTGTGCAGGTCTGCACTTGGAATTAGCAGTGTTGCACACCTCAACACCTTCAGGAACACTACTAAGCTTCGTCGATGCTCAAGCGACGAATACGCACCGGTGTTAGATTCAGACGAGTCAATCAAGAAATTTTGCATTCCTGGAACGCCTTCGCCTACGCAATCGTTTGATGTTGTCAACCACATTCGTGCATTCCCGGAATCCGCCGCATCCTGTATGGAATCGCATTGACTGTTCCAGGTGATTCTATTATTGCAACCGTAAGCTTTAGTGTGGTGCAGAGCTGGTAGCTGAACTGGGCAAACCTGGCTGGTGCATCTCAAGACCGTGACTGCTATCTGTGATTTACACTAAATGCATCTGCAACTGACGGACTGCTTGCCTACTTGCACTGCAAATTCTCGGCCCACGACAGGCTGCTAGGGTGATAAAAAACTGCGAGCCGTTGGTATCCTGTCAACAGTTGTAGCGTCGCCGGATGCCACTAGACTACAGGTTACAGGAGCATCTACGGTGCCTTCCCTGCATTCGCCATGGAGAGCATCCCGGCTTTGCTGTGCCTGTGTGTGACAGGTGGACAGCAGCAAACAAACGCCTACTGTAGTCCTCTTTATTCCCGCCCGAGGAAGGCACGTGATGTATCCATTTGTCCACTCGTCTTCAAACTTCTCGCCGTAAATTGACCTATGCTCTCCGGCTCTCCAAAGTTCACGGTCTCTAGCCAAGTCTGGGGAGGCTGACTCTCCGCCAGTGCCATTTTCGTTGGTGAAATCCTAGGCAGCAATGGCCAACAAAAACCTACGACGAGCCCAATCCCCAGATTCGCGGCAGGCTCAGATCCAAGCACCTCCTTGGCACATGAAGCCAGGAATGATCCGGTGGAAGGTGTTGCCTGATAAGACCATCAGCAAGTCAACACGTGGATTCAACATCCACCCACCCGATTGATTGACTGCTCGAGGATGGATGAAGGATTTGCGCATGTCAGTGCTGTAGTTCTCACTCTGTTGATCAACTGCATTCGGCTCTTCACAACCAGCCAGGACACCTACTGTACAAACCCCTGTGCGTCCTCTCAAGACCTGCCCGATCCCTGCACCTAGACCGTACGTCGTCAGCAAGTTCGACGGTTCCAGAACTAGTGTCTTTGCTGCGGCAGCCGACGGCAGGAAGGGAGGGGGGGCCTGCAAAACATTTGCAAGCTTCGAAGACCAGAGGCCCAGCGAATAATGTTGGGCGCATTTTGGCATGGAGTACACTTATTCAAAAGGACTCTACGGCTCTCTCACCCTTGACAAATCATGTAATGTAGAGTGTCAAGGCTTCTATAGCATTGCAAAGTTAATTACATGTTGCCTGATGTTGCATCGTTACAGCAATCATGGGGCAGGAAAGCCGAAGGTGCTTCCTTGGCGCCTGCCTGGCTTGGTTGGTTTCTGCCGAAGTTCAGTCTTTCCCTTGTTGCTTTCGTCCTTGGATCCCAGTCCGAACCGGATTTGCCCTCTATATTCCTGCTCCCGCCTGAAGCACCACATATCTCCATGCCGATAATAAACTCGCGCCTTTGAAGGTCAGCTTCTTGCCAGACTTCCCCTCGCCCTGGCCGGCATTGGTGCCCAGAAGTCACCGGCCAAGAGTCGGTCTCAGTCCTTCTCCCCGGTGCAGAGGGCACGGAAATTCCTGTTCACACTGCGCCGGACTGGCGCCATCGAAGAACCAGCTTTCGCAGCCGAGAATCTCTGCAGTCTTTGGATAGCTCTTGGCGAAAAGCTCGATCACCACCTGATAGACACCCGCAAGTACCCGCAAGTCATCTCCCTGTTCGTGTCCAGAGAAGAAGATTAGAGAACCACCTGCTCAGGCTCCGCATCCCCGATCTTCATGCTCAGGAACACCTCAGGGGTTCTCTAGCCTGCGCTTGTGGCTGCTTTTCATGCGTGGCTTCCCATGGCTGCTGTAGGCTAGAATGCACACCTTAGGGTTCTCGTCAGAAGATGCGTCTGAAATCGGCAGCTCCTGCCGTCGGCTCCGCGGTACACGTGGCATGAGAGAAGCGAAGGGAGGGAAACCGAACCTTGAGATCAGAAGGACCACCCTTCTGGAAGTAGCCCTGCAAGAGCTGGAAGCCAAAGAGGCACACCAGGGCTATCCTTGGTTTGTGAATTCATAAACGGGGAGAGAGTCTCTTAGTTCATCTCTTTTTGTTAGGCGCGGACGGCATTGGGTTCGCCGAGGCCTGCTCCCAGAGCCACGCCAGTCCTTCCGCCGGAGGACTCACCTGCCACGCATTGACACGAACATAAAGTCTAAACAGAACAACTGCGTTTCCCTGGCTCAAGGGCAATGAGGACAAAGACCGGGAAAGGCATGCTTTCGTGTCATGTTTCTCAGATGGTGAAAAAGAGAACAGCCATAAACATATTAACATAAGGAATGCATCGTGGCGCAAGTTTTGGTTTAAAGTAGCCAGCTGGCGCCGTGGCCTACACGACAGTGTTTCCTGCTCTTGTCGCCTCCAAGAGCTCTAGCTCGAATGAGATCGCCGCGTCGGGCGGAATCGCACCTGGAGAAGGTGGCATGGCTTTCACAGCCTACATTCGGCTGATTTTGCCAGGGTCCCCAGCTTCCAGCGCCACGGGAGCCATATCCGATCCTGAACCAAGACTAACACGGCTTCATTCATGAGCCCGCAGACGGAAGAGCCACACTGAGCAAGCCGCGCACTGGGTATCCAGATCCTCCAAGTGTCCCCTGGCTTCATCCTCGACATACAAACTAAACCTACAAGGTCAAGCATGGCTGGGACCTGGTCGGAATGCATAAGACAAGTTGAGAATGCTAACTCTGCAACTCCCGGTATGCAAGTGAAATGTCCTCTTGATTCAAGTGCATTTGTTCGTTCGAATATGCTTCCCCATTCTCGCTCCACCGAGGCTGCGAGGTGACCATGGCCAACCAGCTCAGAGAAAGGACAGTTATATAACCTTAAACTCCACACACATACCCTCGGAAATTAATATTCGGTTTTCAAACACCGCTCTTCCCTGATCGTGCCGCTCACGACCGCACGCAGAAGTTACATCTGTCAACAACGGCTGGGCTGGTCTAAGAGCAGGACATCAGCAAAGCCTCGTGCAGAGAGCGGTGTGTCCTAGAAAACGCCTGCCTACTTCCTCCTGTCGCTTCCACTGCATCGGCCCCAGCCTCTTGAAACCCAGGAACAAGGTTGGCAGGCTTGAAAGTGGCCGGAGAGCCACGTTTGTGCGAGCTATCGAACCTCAAACATCTGCAGCAATGGCTCTGACCTGAAGCTCATCGCTAGCATCCAGGGCTCGAACTCTGAGCCATTCAGTAAGGTGCCTCGGTAATGGCACACCTGGGTTGCGCGCAGACTGACACTGAACCGCTGCTCATGCCATGAGGAGTTCGCCCAAACCGATTTTCTTCAAGCTTGTGAAGTCTGCCTGTGGTCACTTCTACGAGGTGAAACGAGAAAAGATCAGATCACCTGTCATCGTGATACTTAAAGCATTGGAAGCATGTCCAACGAACACGTTTGTGCATGTGCCTTCTTTTTCTTCTTCACCTCCCCGGCTTTGGAACCAGCTTCTCTTTTGCCTGACTCGGCAAGCCCCCAAAATTCGGGCTCTCGTGACTCGCCAGTTGCCGTGGGTTTCGACAGATTGCAATCGTCACCATTTGCTTCCGCCACGCCAACTCCCGCCTGTTGATTTCTTCTCAGCGATCGGCGACCGCTTCGGGGAGAGCTTCGGAGAAGGCTTCGGGGAGAGTCGAGGCGACTGAGCAGGCCCGCTCTTAGGCGACCTGGGCATCACACATCAGTTGACCGTACACCTGTCTGCTTGGCATCTGCGTTTGTGAGCTGGGCTGCGAAGGCTGCTTCGCGCCCCGCAGGCGCAAAGCGTGCTTGGGCAACATTGCGAGGAAACCTCCCTTGAAATCGCGCTGAGGTCTTGGGACAACCTCACTGGAATTTGCCGGGCAAGCAAGAGCAAACACGCCCACGATGCTTCTGCCAGACGCCTTGCAGTACGCCATCCAAGCCTTTACCAGGTGCTTTTCCCACACCTGAAAAGAGGATGGCATGCAAGACGGACTTTGCTGATTGTAGTCTGTGACATTGGCCTTCTTATCTGGAATGCTCGGAGGATCGAGCTGGTCTGGAAGCCTACACGCGGCTTGTCTCTGATCAACACAACTTTCAGAACACTGGGCTCGATATGGAAACTGACTACCATCCGGGAACCCAAGACTCCTTTACTTGGCAGAGACACGAAATTGTCACAAACCGCTTGCTGCTTGCCTTATCACGAAGTTGCCATCTTTGTCCGGAACCAACCTGGGAAATGGCTTCGTGCTTCTATGCTTCAAAGAGCTCCAGAAATCTCAGCTCTCTGCGTAAACTTGTCTGGATTCTCCTTCAAGAACCTACCAGGGCCACTGGGTGCACTCAAGGACAGCACGCTCAACAGACCTGTTGCCTCTGAGCGGCTGTTTGTAGGATCCCAAAGCGGGCTTGTACTTGTCTGCCCACCCTTCGGGGACGAAAGGCGCACCGGCCTTTTGGTTGCCGGCGACGCGCACGCCTTGCCTGGGCTTTGCAATGCCCAACAAACCGGAACGAGCAGATGCTTCAGGGAGCCCACTCGATGTCTGCAATCGCTTCATCCGCAAGTCTTGCTTTCTCGCCAGCATCTATGTCCTCTGGTCGGAGAAGTGTTGGGAAAAGCAGGCAACGGTTGGGCTCACAAGATGGGCGTACTCAAGACTGCATCAATGTGGGGTTTCGATGCTCGACGTGGCCTTTCTGTCACTGACTCCACACCCAACCTTCGAGCCTGGCTCGACGCGCTTGCTTTTGGCACTGCTTTCGGCTTCGTGCCCTTCCTGGGATGTATTCGGATATCGTTGTTCAGCGCCAGACAAGCCACATGCATACAGAAATGTAAAACATGTTCCAAGGTGAAATGGTGACAGCCAACGGACTAAAACTCGACAAGAGCTCAGGGCTGAGACAGCATCCTGACCAAGCGTCTTCTCGACCTTGCCTTGGCGCTTGTCTCTAGCAGCCTGCCGGGCAGGGCGTGAATCGCTTCTCCGTACAGTGAAGGTATTCAACCCAGTATCCTAAAGATGCCGGGACGGCTTCAACACTCTGCCTTCCCCATGGCCGAGTCCACTTCCGAGCGTACGCATCATTTCCATCAGTCCTATGCCTGTGTATCCGTGCTTGAACCAACACGAGGTGTGCAGCTGTGTGCTGGCTGCCATCCACGTCTAGGACAAGCCGTCAACAAGACACAAACATTTGGTCCATGACAATCTTCGACTGCGCTTCAGGGTGAGTTCCGTCGGCGGGGCCGCTTTTCAACACCTGGCTCTCCGACAGGAACGAGCGTAGGCCCAAAAGCTTGTACTAAGCTCAAGGCACCTCGTACTGCAAACCTGTCGAGGTTTCCGTCACCTCGTCTCGCCTCTATGGCTATGCAACAACTCCCCCTAATTTTCGTCAGCTGCCCGCAGGAGGGAGTGCAGAGATGCAACCCAACGATTTACTCTTGCGACACTTTTTTAAGTTCAGGACTGCCGATTCTCCTGGGCAACCACATTTCTGCCAACAAGCGGCTTTACACCACGAAAGTCGCTCCTCCAAAATCTGGTCATCGGTCTGGACTTCAACTTCTACTTCCTCGTCTGCGCCTGCTCTGACTGCCTCATAATCAACTTGAGAGACTTGTATTCCCCTGTCCAAAAGACATTGTGTTCTGGCCGCGCTTGAACACGGTAGGGTCTGGGCAAAGAGCAGCGCAATCAACAATCCGGCTCGAATAGTCTTTGCCTCAGAAAGACACGAAGGCCGGCTTAGGGCGGCTTCCCCAACTACGACGTATCCGAGATGTGCGGGCTGAATCCGAAGCTTGGGTGATGACAGCCATTCCACAGACCATGGACCGGGTTTGTACGAGCTCAAGCTGGGAGCAACATCCACGACATGGACGGGCTCAAGACGGCTCAAGTTCCTGCGCAGCACCTCGGCCGAATGACCATTTTGCAGAGAAGGCGAGGCCATAGCAACATCTCCGGCGCTTTGCACCAGAGATCGCATTCAGCGCGCGTTGTTCGTGCACGGATGCGTCCGACTCTACAAGGCATCTGGACAGGACCGCCGCTGGATCCTTCACGCTTGCAGATGCCTGCAAAACTGCACTAAAATTCCAAATCGAGCTACTGCGCGTTCAACATCTCGGCCGCCTCGGATGCATATACTTTTACATACTTACACAACTTTCACGGAGCATTGCAGCAAAAGCTAATCACCATATCTACACGATGGCCGAGTCGCCTCCGGATTCAAGTCGCCGCACTGTTGCTGCAAGGCTCGAACCACTGACGGACCACTCAGGCCACGAACGCCACGAATCCTTGCCAACAAGTAGCTTCATGAAGGAAATAAGGTGTCCTGAGAGGCTAACACTCTGCGTGCCCAAGTTCTCTTGGCCCGAGCCCACGGCACTGATCCAAGCAGGGATGCCATGGCAACAGTCACATCATCAGCTTGCAAATCAGAGACACACTGCCAGAAGTCGTCGGCTTCAAACCTTGCGCTTGTGCTTGACGCGTGTCTAAAGAACAGAAAGGCATCGAAACCAGAGGCAAGTGCTCAGCTCCCTCGTCCAACACCGACTTCACCTGACGTCTCGAAGCATCGGCAATGAACCCCGCAAACTCAACGGGCCCTGGCAGAGTCTAGCAAGACGTACATGGCCTGACAGGAGATCCGCTGCAGATGGAAGTGGCTGAAACAGTGGAAACAGCTGCTATGGCATGCTCTGGCACCAGCCTTGGAAGCATCTGCTGTCTCCAACTGTGTCCGGATCTGTTCAAGAAGGGACCTGTACCTTCCCGGGGTCAGGAATGGTCAGCACCAGTGCCAGTAAAGCTCCGGAAATGACAAAAAACACCCGGCACCAGTGATGCTGTTGGCCATCATTGCCCTCGACCTCAGGCCAGCATGACAGTCTTAACCAAAGCACGTAGTTTACACAAGGCCGGGGCCGGCCATCCAGGCAACAAAAGCGTCCTTGCCCAAGCGATGGAAAACCGGGTGCCGAGACAAAGGCAGGGGCGACGCCTTGTGGGATCTTCAAAGGATGCCATCCTGGACTCCGCTTGGCTTTCCAGAATCGCCTCCCAGCATCTTTTGGGTTGGAGATGTAAAAAAGCTAGCCACCAGGGCTGCCCCATCTTATCATGCGGTTGCTGGTTAAGGTGCCATCCGATTGCCTTTTCGCCAAGCTATGTGCTTTGCAGAACTGTGCCTGCAACTTTTTGCGCTCTGTGTCCCGCGATTCCTGTGCACGAAAAAACTCCCCAGAGAGAGGTCGGTAAAACTCGCGACACTCGCGTAGGTGCTAACCTGGTACTTGATCACTTTCCACCGGAGGCCCACCAACGGTGACCTTCAACGCGACGACCATTATCACTTCAGCGCCGTTGGCTACTCACTCTGGGTCATAGCAGAACCAAGCCTCTGTCGCTGATCCGGTTCACGAAGCTGAGAGAGGGCCTGGCATTTTGAACAAGAGCTCGTTTGTTTGGCTTGCGCTCAGAAGTGCTCTTATCAACGGTGTGGGTCGCAGGGTGTGGACCACACCAGTATTCACCTGTGAAAACGCTAGCCGCTCTGCAGGCACTGTCCCCTTCTGTCTGGAAGCCACTCCGGGCGAGCAGATGCGATTGTTGAGCGGATTGTGTCCCCCCATGACTCAATGCTGGCGGCGGCTCGGATGCACAGTCCCATGCTCCAACTCGAGTTTTGGCTTAACTTTCAGGTGTTTAAATCTCCACCGGCATGTGACCTCAGCGTCTTGGCAGCAGAATGGTATCTTCTATTTCCTAATCTGGCAGTTGTCTCATATAGCAAACGCACGATTGCACTTGGACTTGGTCTGCCTCTGTCCAGCCTGTCGGGGCCTGCATGCCCACCAGATTTAGTGTGCCTTGAACAACGAAACGTATAATGTACACGTGCGGCCCCTTTAACTGTAGGACATAGGGTCAGATAGGGTCAGATAGGATGTGCACTCAGGCTTGACTCTATGCATCAACATAACTCAGTAGCAGTAGCTGCTGACAAGTGTCCTTCGCTGCTCCTGTAAGCATGTTCAACTTACCCGAGGAGACACATAAACGTTGCACAGGGACGTCCTAGAGAAGCTGCGACACACGAAGCAATGAGGTGGGAGAGACACAAATTCGGCTCAAATGTCGAGGTAGTTGGGCCAAACACCAGCCTTCTGCTGAATCACGCGAGCTCGTGTATGAGCCTGGATTTGGGACTCTCGGATTGCTGATCAGACACTTCTGCCACATGTGGCTTGGCCAAGGCACTGCCGCTGGCTTGGCCGGTTCAGGTACCCGCGGATCGGTCGAGCGCTGCAAGCCCTGCAAATCAGTTTTGCCCTCTGCCCGACTGAAAGTCCACGCTTCCGGTAGCCGCCTTACTAAGTTCGTCGTCGTGGTCAACACCTGCTCGACGCTTGTCCTGCAACACCTCAGACATATCTGGCAGTGCTTGCCAGTTTGCACTGATGAGGAAGCTAGCACAGCACAACCTGCTTTTGAGCAGTCGCACGCGAAGACTCCAAAGCAATACCAAAGCGATTGCAAGAAAATACAGACGAGTATGGACGTCGATCTGTGCACTAGCACGTGAAGTCGAACTTCTTCGCTCGCAGGATGCAGGTTGACCGCGACCCTTGCGGCAATGCATCAGCGCCCAAGCTGCGAAAGGCAAGATTTAGTTGCAAAGGCTCGGTCTCAATCTACTCCGACAAGGCTTGATGAAAGCTTTGTCTTGATCGCTTGGACACTATGCCACTATGTGCACTCTAGGGGCGATTACAGCCCAAAGCATTTACAGGAAGACGTTTCACTGCAAGAGTCACGCCTGCCAAGCTTGCACACTGAAGCTGGTTGAGCAAACGCCGCAAACGATGGCCTTCTTCTTTTTGCCTTTTATTTCGAAGCCACCATACACTTCCTGCATTAAGGAATGCCGGTCCTACCGAGCACAACTATGGCACAGCAAGCCCATAGCAACGCGCCTTGATGCTCTCAGGAGGGATGCCTCAGCTGAAGCGAAACAAGAGCAGGCCTGACTGGAGCTCTGAAAACCCAATTCATAAACCATCTCTCTGACAGCCACTGCATATGCAGAAAAGCTGCGAATGACTTCTGTTGAGTGTTGGATGTTTCGGTACAGATCGAAGGCGACAACCTGCACTAAGTTGTGCAGGCCAATAAATGTCACCCATTGCTGCACTGAGTAAGGCATTTGCAGCACAATTCGCCATTTTCGTAGTCTTGGCGACATGTGTCGCAGACTTTGGCATGAAGCCTCGGAGACCAAGACTGCAAGCACAAACTGCCTGTTCAGGTGCGGACCGTCTACAACCTGCAAGCAAGCCACTCTTGAAGAACTCACGGAACCAAAGTGAGTGACCTGCAACCTTGGATGGACATGCTGCCAGAGAGGGATAGCCCTGGCCGTGCGATTCTTCGGCACCAGGCCGGGCCTTCGGAACCTCACGGAACCTGCTCACCTACTCCGAACGTGAATAAAGCTTCTGCAGCATGAGAACATGAGCTGCACTTCAAGTCACAGCAATCACTCGATAATCCAGGAAGGTTGCGAGGTGCCGTTCAACTTTTATGTCATTAACCTGGCATCTGCCTATTGGCCGACCTGCCCGCCAAGATGCAACGATGCAGTCCACATCTTTCTGCTCGAAAACCCACTTCACGAATTGCTTTTGCCGTTTGTCAGCCTGTGAAGGCACAGAGCGCAGTGCTCTCGTCAACAAGCATAGAAGACGAGCAGGTTCTGCCTTCATGGACAATGTCTTGTTGCCTGCATTGTGTCGATGATCTAGCCGCGTCTTGTACCAATGTGACCTTGCAGAGCTCTGGCCGCATCCTGCTCAAGCTCTCAAGCCCGGAATGCTTCCGAGTCGCATCAAATCACCCATGTTCTTCAGCTTCGCCTGATCACCGCTGATCGAAACAAGCACTGGCTGACGGTTCTCTCTCGGCATCTAATCGCCACCTCATCTGGAGGACACTTCGGGATCGACCGGGCCGGAGTGACCGACAGCGTGTCAACGTTTCTACCTCAGTCTAGCTCACAAGTGGAGGGGCATCCGAGATGTGCCGCATCGTGCCATCAGCTCAGAGACCCATTCCACTTTACCCCACCCGCCCGCCCGAATCCTGGTCGGCTTGCATGCAAACAATTTCCTCCTGAGTCTTAGAGCGCGGCTGATTTCCTGCATCAAGGTCATAATTGAATGGTGTCGCGCAACATGAGTGCTTAGCGCAACAGCAACATGGGCCGTCCTGCAAGGAAGTCATCAAGTGAACACGGTCTTTGGCAAACGTCCTGAACCAGCACAAGTCACACACGGAATGGATGCAAGCATAATCCAAAACGAGCTGCGTCTTCAATAGCCTTGGGCTCAAAGCGAGTAGGACGGTGGACACGGCCCGCCGCAATATTGAAGAAACCTCAACTAAAGCTGCTGTAGCCCTCCATCACCGCTCGTTCACAGATGAAGTTCGTCAGGATTATGGCAAATTGAACTCCATGTGGCTATAACACTTTCACCCGCATCGCCGCGGATGATTGAAACCTGGGCACGGCGCATACTTTGAATTGCCACATCACACTCGGGCCTAGATCCAAGTCCAGAACAATGTCCTCGACCTGTAGCTGCTCCACAGGCTTTTGGCAAGATCCAGGGTCTCGGCAGCCTCTGAAAAGGAATCTGGACACGTCGTGCGCACGAAAAAAACCATGGAGGCTTCTGTGAATTTCGGCGAAAGCCTGCCGGCTGTGAGGTCAGGAATGCCAGCAAATCCCAGCCTGCAGATCTCAAAATTCTGATGGAACACCCACGTGTCGTACTGTAGTCTGTGCTTGCTTGCAGTCATGCATATACTGCCCTACTCAACCCTACTCTAGACCCTAAACCGTAAACTCTAAAACCCGAAAACCCTAAACCCTACACCACAATCAACACTGTTCTCCTAACGACCCTAAACCCTAAGCCCTTTTGTTGAGGAGGGGCTGGAGTGCACATTCCCCCATGCCCACAAAACCCTAAACTCACAGGGATGATAAGGGGCCCCCGTGGAGGGGACCCCTGTGGGTTGCACGTTTGCCGAATGGGCGCGATGGGCCCCATTTGGCCCCATTCATTGGGCCCCCATTGGGCGCCATTAGGCCCCATCGGGCCCCAACACACCCATGCGACAAAAGTGCAATCCACAGGGGTCCCCACCACAGGGGCCCCGTATCAACCCTGTGATAAAACCTTGAAACCCTAAAGTCCGAAAAACCCTAAACCGCAAAACTAGACATTCAGCTGAATCAACATTGGCAACCTGGTTTATGCCACAACATTTGTGCCACTCTACATCCCCCCGTACACTGTGGATTTCTTTAATGTAAAAGGCGCGGCCCCTGTTTCACACGCTTGTATATTGCGCTGGCTTCGATTTTCAGATACTAGTACGTTTGTATGTACAAGTAAGTTCTCGCATCGTGCGTTCACTCATCACTAGCCATATACACTATGCAGCAGCCAGGCAAGCTTTTGCGAGTATGCGTGTGGTTTTGTAGCAAGTGGTCACTCATCCCTTGAGGCCAATACGACAATGCCGGAAAGCCCAAAAAACGCGCGCCCCCGACACAGGTCGCAGAACTTTAATCTTGTAGTCCGTCGCTTCACCAGAAGACACACAAAGCCACTTATCCCTCGACTCCTGCAAGGATTCGGAACGATGCTCAGCCTTGCTGGATGCCCTTGTCGTTCAGCGGCGAATCGTAGAAAATGGAGTCTCTCTGAAAGATCATTGCTCCCTGTCGTAAAAGATCGGTCGTGTTTCCCATGCTCTTCAGCAAGAGAAAGGTGAGCCATGCCTCTCTAATCAAGCCGCGGACCAAGCGGAAAGGCAAGAATATCTTCCAGCCCTGGAGCACTCTTCACACAACTGGCCGACGAAATCACGTGCTTGCACCAGTACTTCCACCCACCTGATTAAAGACAGAATTCCACTGCGATTCTCCGTGACGGATGAAGACAATCCTGAGAACCCACGAGCAAAAGTAAAGGTCAAGCTACGGTCCATCCATCAATGGGCTTCATGGGAGTCAGGTCTTTGATGGTTGTTCACCAAGCAAAAGCTTTTCAGGATCGGGTTGAGCCTGCACTGTTTAGTGCCTTGACTTCTGCACCGGGAACTCGGACCACTTCCGTTTGCATCACATCTTTCTTGGTTTGCTCTGCATCGGCACAGGCATATGGAGGCAAGGTTCTTCATCCGCTTGCAGTTCGGCGACGTTTTGTCCAACTTCATGTCCGTGGGTTTACAAGGCCTCAAGGTGTCGTGCGAAACAAAACGCAGCAAGAAGCGCTGTAGGACAAATGCACTACGGTGCAAAAGAAACCTGAGCACCGAACTTCTTATCACCTTGTCAAGCATGCGATTGCTCGGAGACTGGCTTCCAGAGAGTTAATCCGGCAACCCGTTTACAACGGTCATGGATCGCTGCGGACTCGCAGCGCGCCAGGAAGAAGTAAAAGAAAGACCACACCTGCAACTTCGCCTGCAATTGCGAATGGCAAGGATGCTACTGCTTGGAACCAACCCTCCCGTGCCTTCGGAAAAATTACCAGTGCCAACAGGGCCTGCATTGTCAGGATTCTCTCGGCTAGCAGTAGCCAACTTTGCATCCTTCACTCAATGTTTGCAGAGTCTAAGATTCTGACCAAACCCGCCAGCATCAGAAACAGCCACAGCATGGTCTCCTGAGACTCGCTTTGACAATACCAGAGATCGCGCAGGAGCGGGGTGCAGCTAGCTGTTTAAGTTCAGATTCTGGTGACATCTTCCGCTGGCCCAGGGCCGCATGAGACACGTCTTGCACGATGCCCACCTTGCAGAAGCTCATGATGGGCTCACACATCTGTGACACGACGTGGGCCTCGGCGATGTACTCCAAAGGCGCCTGAACGGCCGGTATGGCGGCCAATCTGACGATGTAGTCTTGGAGCTGGGCCTGGCGAAAACTTGAAAATCGCCCCTTGGGCCTTGGCCGGGAGAGGGATCCCCCTGGGCCTGGGCCAGCATCATCTTTGAACCGAAGGGATCCAAGAAGCCAGCCACTTTTGCATCCACCCAAACAGTTTGGGCATGTCGAACAGACTCCGCTCCAGCCATGCCTGGCAAGAGATGCCATGCTTCACACTTCACACGGCCCTATTCTGCAGGAAGGCCTTTGGCGCTATCACCCATCGGGGTGAAGCCTACTACCTGTTGATCCAATGTAGCAGAACATAAACACGCATTCGGCACATGCGATCATCCTGACAGGTATGCTGGCGCAATGTCCCACACATTGCAGCTTCAGGGCACAAGATCAAGTTCCTCTGAGGTGGATGCAGCATCTTGCGTTGGACTTGTGGGTCCTTTGTTCGCACCTGCTGAGGCACCGAAACAGCCAAAACAACGGGAGATGCCGTGCAAGTCCTCACACATGCTGCCGAAACACCTGCAGGCCCAGACATGACGCTAGCATCCACCGGATTGCTAGCTGCCTGCCGCGACATCTAGAGAATCCACGGCCGATCTTCCGAAAGCATTCTTGAGGTTCAAACACGCTCCATCTCCGCACCAGGCAGACCCTTCTGCTCTTCGTTGACTACCCTGTCAATCGGTAAAAACAGACACCGTCAGCCATTCGTTCCACAATCTTGCCGCCGATAAGCAAATCTTTGAGGATTCGTTCGACAGTCGCCAGCTGGTACTCGTCCCCATGATCTAGGCTTGCAGTCAACACCAACAACTGTGTCCGCTGCAGCAAACGCAACAAAATCCTGCCCTTTCCTCCCTTAGCCCGCTGTTAAGCAAGGCACATCGCTGCCGCATCTCCTCGGCAACTTTCGAAGGCACGCACGGATTGCACCTTAGCGTGCAAGTCATGCCAGACAGCGAAGCGCGGCAGGCAACTGCGAACACCAGCCTCTCCAGTGTTTCTGGCTTCCATGCAGCAACAAGCTCCTGGAAGCTGTTCCAGAGGCGATTCATGTTCGTGCCAACATGTGACATTACAACACAAATGCATTGACATGCACAAGCCCCCGTGCACAAACACGTCAAAACCTCCCCACGGACGCCCGGTCATTGCAACCAGAGCATGCACGAAATTCGTCCACGCAGGAGATGCATTTCCATGCTCTGCTGCATGCTGACTTGCTTTGCCGATCTTGCATCCATCAAGGACATCAACTACGTTTGCTTCCGTCATAGCGCGACAGCCCGGGCCGTGAATGGCATAAGGACGTTGGCTGATGGACATGCAGACAATTGCAGACAGAAACAAAGGCGAACAGGTACAGACACGTGAACCTGTTCATACTGCATTGCATCCTTCCATGCGGAGGTGATACGACGCAACACGCTTAACAAGGTTGTCACGCTAGCAGATAGCGCAAGTTCATTCGTGCCAAAGTCAGATACCAAGCTTAGCTTTGCCTGCAATTGCAACCTGCTCAGCCAGAACACCGCTCCACCCAGCTACAACCTGGATCCTGAAGTTGGATCCTGCGAAGACCTCCGCCCGGAACTGCAAGGGGTCTTACGAAAGCATGCAAACCTACGAGCTTGATTGCTTATACGTGTCTACGCATAGGAACATAAGCTAGCAGCTAGCATGCACAATTGCGTACACGTGCGCTCGCAGAGAACAATGGTGGCGGTGCCCGAGAGCGCCTTAGCGTTTGTAGGCATTACAGGATGAGCATCTTTATAGGCATGCGGGATCATGCGGGCGAAACCCAAGCCAGAGCGCACTTTCAAGGAAAATTCGCAGGCAGAGCAGGTGGTGTGCGAAACACCAGAGGCTGAAGCCTAACTGCGTTTTCGCCTGGTTTTCAGTTCATTATCGAGAAGCGTCCAAAAGATAACTGTATTTTAGATCAAGCCTTTACGGAAGTATCTGTCAGCTGATACACGGACAATCGTGAGGGTTAAGTGTTGCGAAAGGGTGTAGTCGGTATAGTGTGTAAGCATGTTTAAGCCAAGCAAAGGTTCCTGTACCCCCTCCGATTGGAGATTGATACGTGACGTCATCATCCTCCCAAACCAAAAAACGGAAAAGCCCAGTCATCGGCCAAAAACATCCAAAACCATAGGCGCGCTCGGGCGCTGTGACCAGGAGCATCTGTACACACACACACACACGCTCATCCATGCATGCATGCTCTGCCCGCGATGCATATAAAAACTCGTTGATGCCATGCCATCCTCTTGGAATTTCTTGCGGCGTTGCGTTGATGTCGGAACCGTCCGACCTGGCAACGTCCGCTCCCACGTCCCATGTCAGGGTGCAACACCCCAGACTGCAAACGTCAAAAGAGTAAGCCGCAGTGCCTTTCCCGGTGCCAGCTTTACGCTGCTCTTCAAGCAGCCGGTCAAGTAGGCTGCGTGTGCCTGACAGAGGCAGAAACGTCAGACAATCCCCTCGCCTGCCCTGCCAAACCAAGTAAAGCCATGGGAAAACATAGCCTTCTGGCAGGGGAAGAAGCTCGGAGACAATCTTGTTGGTTAGTTCCTCGTTATACCTGCAACTGCAGCGTCTGCTACGGGACGGGACCGTTCTTCCCAGCTTCGAACAAGAAGGACAGCAGCAAAAGCGCCTGACCCCCTCTGCAGGTTCTGCCCTGTCCACTCCAGCAGTTGCCGCAACCTGAGCAACAGGCATTAAACAAGACACTTCTGATGCCACACGAGCAAGCAAAGTCCCACACCCCAGTGCCATTGGATGCCTCTCCAAGAATGATGGAACCATGTCAAGAAATTACATGAGCATCCCTCGCACAACTAGTAGTTGAGAGGCTTGCCAAGTATTCGGAAAGGGATGGTAGCCAGTTTGTCACGCGCTTTGGCGAGACCTCTCGAGGATTGAAGCAGGTTTTGCATTTTGCGTGTGTTGCAGCCTTGGGTAGCTGGATTTGTCCTTGCGCTCTTCTCGCTGAGAGCGGCTGCGGGTGTTGCGGCTTGACCTGCCCAGTTCACAAAAGGGGTCGAGTAGCATAACGCATTCGGACACTCTGACATGATGGTGGCAGGGCACTGGGCGATGATCCCGCGCAGATAGGGGAAGTTCGACAGACCTGGATCTGACAGCATCTGAAGCAGCGACATCATGGGCGACATCTGCAAAGCAATCGTGAGAAGAGAATATGGTACTTTGCATAAGGCACAGAGGCTGACACGTCAGGAATGCGCTTCCACCGTCCTCGAGCGGCGCCTGTGCGTGGTGTTGAAGGATGCAGCGCGCTTCATAAAGCCTGGCATGGCTGAGCTGCAAGCTTCTCCCTGCCTGGCAGGACAATGGGAAAGCCGCTTCAAATCATGCAGGGCATTCCGAGTAGTAGAGCAACCTGCAGCCGACAAGACGCGTGCCTGGAGGACGTCAGCGCCAGCTGCACGTTGTCGCTCCTGGCCTCCAGACACTTGTTGGCGCTTCGAATGTCCATCGGGGAGAATGGAGCCCATTTGTGTTTCGTCTTCACCTCGTAGGCGGCATCTGAATCAGCCCTCACCTGATAAGCAGGATACAACCGACATATCATCAAGAAACACTTTTTGAGGCAGAGGCCTGCTCAACTCTTCGGTATGAGCTTCTTATGTGTAGCTTCCTTGATCACTGCGATTTCTTCTCTACGTCAGAGAGCCAAGCCAGCACCTAGAGGAAGAGTGTGTGGGAGCCCGGCAATTCCTTAAAGCCATCTTTCTCCTGGGATCGACCAGAAGGTTGTCTTCCACAGATTGCAGGTGAGTTCGACACCACCCTACGACGATGCAGATTCTGTGCGAAGGCGCCAACAAGAGCTGCTCAGTGGCGAGATGTCTCAATTTAGTAGAACGGAAACTCGAAAGACAATTGCTCTTTATCTATGTGAATCAAGTCTCCTGCCGTTCCTGGGCTTGTCCACAACGGGGCAAGTCGTTCCTGCGAACGGGCCAGTCTGGATCTGAGTTGAAACAAAGGGCACCCATAGCATCGTCATCAAAGCTGCAAAGCCGTTCGGTCCCATACAGTGCATGAGGAAGGCGAGAAAGATTTTGCGTCCCTTTCCGGTCTGCCTTCGGAAGCACGTACTTCGATCTGCAGGCACCACAGTCAAAGCAAAGGTAAAGGCCTCCAAGCCCACTTCTTCTGCAGCTGTCTGTTCGTCCTTGATGACATCCTGCAAGAGCACACCAGTATGCCCACCGCCAGATCCAAGAAGTCCCGCTAAACACAAGCAGTGTCGCGCTGTTTGCAGCCTGCGAATCCAGCAGAACCAGCCGTTCAAGTTCTTGTTCTTTGCCTGTACAGGTTTGCATGACCAACTATCATTGGCGCACCACGACTGCTCGAAGCATCTCTTGGGCATCTGCGGCGCGTTCGCTCCTTGTCTTGCTTGTTCTGATGCTGCGAGCTGGCCTCAATCTAGCCGGCTGGATGCAAACTCTCAGACAGCGAATGGCCCTTAACAAAGCATGCCTCGCGCCCCACAGTCTGTTTGATCTTGTCCACCTGGCTGCTTCAACGTCACATGCGCAAGGGATAGGTGCTTCGTCTCCTTCGCTGCGGCCTTGGCAAAGGTGGAGTTGTGCATCTCGACGACTCTCTCCGATGGCACCGGTGCACCTAGAGGCCTCATGGACATTCAAACTGCACCAGTGCCGAAAGGTAATAACTCCAGCTGTGCAGCAGGCTTGTAGCCATCGCTATGTTTGCAAGCAAAACCCTCCGATCGCCCGCGCGCCTTGCTGACTATGCAACACATGAGTGTACAGTCCGGATCCTAAATTCACAGCCATTCAGCCATCACTCAGCCATGCGCCCGAGATGACGCAGCAAAGTTCTTGCGATCCAACCTTGCGGGACTGCGGTGGCATTGTCTGAACACTCGTCGGTCGAAGGTCAACTTGTCATCAGAAAGCACTGGTGGTCTTGTCTCATTGCTTTTCGGGGCAGCCGAGTAATTATGCTGTCAACAGCCTGTAACTCAAGGACATCGTCCTCATCATAGAATCACATCATAGTGACGATCATCAAACTTACCACCATCCTCCAGTTGTACACCACAACCGTCGTCATTGTCAACCGATCGCATAAGATGGTCGAGGACCTTTCGATTGAACAGGCTCCAGCTGATTCGACGCCTAACTAAGCTGCACAAGCTCGGACGCCATCAAGTAGACTAAGGCCAGCACAGCCCGGCAGAATGTGCCTAGCACTGCTCCAAGTCCAAATCCGCAGAACTGTTCGCGGGACATATCAGGTTCCAGCAACTGTCTCCGAGCGATGCAACCTGGGATGGCGATGGGCCAATCGACTCAGGAGTAGAGCGTCATTCAGACTAGGCTGAGACGTGCGCGTAAAACCAGCACCGGCTCGTTCGGCAACCAGCATTCCGGACGGGGCCGACAGCATCATGGCCTAACACATTCAAGGCAAACCACGGGTGTCGATACATAATTTAAGCAATAAACTCAGTGCCAAGCGAGCTGGCGACCAGAAAGAATGCACTCACTGGGAAGGCTGCCGGAGCAGGCCCCATTTTTTTGTCGCCTGCCCCTTCCCCCTGCCCGCGCTGCTTGACACCCTGGTGGTGGCTTCGATGCTTTTTGCAAGTCACAGACATTATGTCGTCAATGTTCGCTGAAATTACTTGGCTGTCCATGCTGGTGCGCTCATCTCGCTCTTTTCATGTGTTCTCGGTCTTCCGATCGGCAGAGTGGCAGGTACTCGCAACAACTTGGTGCTGATCGCTTCGCGTTGCAGCACTGTGACCTGGGTTGTCCCATTTGGGAGGGCCTTGTCTCAACATCAAAACCTGACGATGCTAACGTAGGGAAGATTGTCTTATCCTATGCTCCAAATGCATATGATCGTGTGCTACGAGGGTGGCGTAGCTTTTCCTTTTGATTGAACCGCCTTATTGCGGATCCCGGTACAGAACGTGCAGGTGCTCAGCTATTCAAAGTGTACGTTCGCTCGACTTCTCCCGGCAACTGCCTCTGCCTGGCAAGTCGAAACCAGTTGCGGAGCGTCCCAGAAACCATGCAAGTTGCGGCAGCATCTCCCTAGCCTGAGCGGCACAAAGCCAGGGATGTCGTAACAAGCCACATCACCTCAGAAGCTGTCTCGAAAAACACAACCCCCTCTTCCATGATCGAGTCCTTGTTTGAGAACCCGACGCAACGGCTGGACATTTCCGGCGGGAAGTCCGGATAACGTCTGCGAAAGCCTGCGATGCTGCCAAAGACGATGCAACATCCAACGCTTTGCCCTCTGACGACCTTTGCAGCTCTGCATCACGATGGCGAGCAACTGAAGGGTTAATCCTGATGAGAAGTTGTGTGAGTTCGTCGCGGCATGTTCCTCGCAAGTCCGAAGCCGTCAACAGCACGCCGCATTCTAAGACCAGATCGACATGCCATTGATGACGTTGTAGCGGTTGGTTAAACCATTCACCTGAAGACTAGCTCTGACTCTTTTTGGTATTCTCATGCGCATGCACGGTTTCGCAACCGGTCACCTGCCTGTGTCAGCCAGTGCCCCCGGTCGCTCTGCTTTGGTGGTGCAGTCGGTCGTTTACCAGCGGCAAACACCTGCAGGCCAAACCAACACCGGTCTGTGTGCAAGAACACGAATCAAAAACGAAATGCCAGCCTTGCCGTTGATGTCATATGTTGCAGATCGAACGGCCAGCAACTAGCCAACAGGCATGCGCCATCATCACCCACGTCTTGCAACACGGCACATGTTGTGGCCTTCTCTTGTGTCGTCTGTGACCTGAGAACTTATGGAATTGTTTGCACCGCATCATGGACTGACGATTGGCCAAGCCAAGTACAAATCGTCCGAGACATGATCCAAAAGTCGACTGCTTCTTTGCCGGTTTTCTTCCTCCCAAATACAGAGGCAAAACAACACGAACGGACTGTCGCCGGCGCCCAGCCTGGAGAGCCCGGCGCTGATTCCACATTGCCTGCTGCGAGACCTGGCAGCAGCAGCAGCAGCAGCAGCAATACATAGTTAGTGTAGAACATCTAGCGCACCAGGTCGTGCCTCATGCTGTTTGTCATGGATCAAATGATCAGCGTTAAGGAAATGAAACTGGCCGCTGCCACCTGTGCGCACCAATCCACGGCCATGCCACTTCAAGGACCGAGTAGTATACTCCTTCGCCGAACCAAGGCCCCAACGAGCGGCTACCCAGCGAGCACCAGCAGGAAGGCGAGTCGCCCCAACTGGGAGCAGATTTGGCCTCCGCAATCGGCATCAACCTCTAGATCTGGAATCCGACATCACAGAAGAAACAAGTGTCCGACATGGATGACGATGGCGCAATTTGCACATCTGCCCTGGTCAAGTTGAGCGCACAGTGTGACAAGCAGGCACACTTTACAGATGCAGTGTACAGCACGGCCTCTGTGTCATCATAAATGCATCCCCCAAGCACACGTAAACCAAGCTGCAGTTCCACATGCATCCGACATCCATGTGCAAGCTTTCGTGCTACGAAATCATGGTGTAGCAATGCCGCGGAAAAGGGCTGACATGCGCTTGGCGCTGCCGGCTGGCTTGTCGTAGAGATCCAGTCGCGGGTTCGTAGCTTCGGTGTGGGTGTGGCTGACCTGCAATAGGTGCGAGTCGTCATGGGCCGCACTGCCTGCTGTCGTTGTGCGTGCAACGGGAACAACATGACCGTTGCTTGGTACCGGTATTCACAGTACAGGCAGACAAGGACGCGAGGCAAAAACATCATGCTTTTCGTGGTCCGATCGCCTGGAACGTCAAACCGTCGTGGCCACGTGCAATGATACAAACCCTCATGCTGCGGTACCACAACAAGTAAACTAGAAGACGAGTGGCCCGTTCATCGCCCAATGCATGATGCACTTGACTCGATTTACTTGACTCTGTGGAATCTACGTGTATCTCCATGCTATGTGTACTTCACTCTGTGTTTGTCACCCAATGCACTCGACTCGGCTCGATGTTTATCGCGAATATATGTCTATCATCTATGTACTTCTTTCGGTGGCTTCGTACAGACGTACCAGGTTGCGCGGGAAACCTAAAAGTAGACACCTTACCTCGCGTTCGTGCATTGGACCACGCGAATCCATGCTGAGGGTTGCGCGTGGCGCTGATTTTTTTTTTTTTCACGGACCTTTCCTCTCCGCGGAAGCGGTCTCATCTGCCGGCCTCTTCTACATCTACTGCCCCTACTGCCCTTCAGCGGGGCGGCAAGCGACTGCATCCTGCCAGCTCCGCCAGGTCCAGGACGCGGTCCAAGTCTGGGCCGTCCGGCTGGACTGGCTGCAAGGGGGCAGGCCACGCCTGTCCCAGAGCAGTGCTGGCCACGGCTTGCTGCACCGCTACTGACAGTTGGGAAGTTGGGACCACCACCGCTGCGTCCAGGCCGTTCGTGCTGCGCTGAGAATTTGCAACTTTACCCTGCGTTCGTTCACTCGACCACGCGAAATCCATGATTTACCTCGCGTTCGTGCATTCGACCACACGAATCCATGGGAAGGGCTGCGCGTGCACCCGACAAGTTCCAAAAAGTAGCAACTTTACCTCGCGTTCGTGCATTCGCCCACACGAATCCATGGTAAGGGTTGCGCGTGGCGGCGCGAACTTGCAACTTTACCTCGCGTTCGTGCACTCGACCACGCGAATCCAGGGTAAGGGTTCATTCCCGATCGATGACATCGGTGCCGCCCCAGCTTTAAAACATGGAAAAATATACCGAGATGTCAGTTTACCGAGCTGTAGATACGTCTATGTACACAAGCCATGGAGCTATGCACTTGGAGCTATGCACGTGGAGCTATGCACTTGGAGCTGGATATACCGAGATATAAGTACACCGAGATGTGGATACGTCTATGTAGACAAATCTATGGAGCTATGCCTATGCACTTGGAGCTATGCACTCGGAGCTAGATATACCGAGATGCAAGTATACTAGGATGTAGATAAATCTATGTACCATGTACTTGGAGCTGTGCACTATGTACTATGCACTTGGAGCTATGNNCTATGCACTTGGAACTATGTACTTCACTCTATGTATTATGCACTTGCCTCGATGCACTTTGTGTACTTGATCCTATGTAGCTTTCTCGAGGGCTTCGCACGGAAGAACCCTTCGCGATGCTTTCGGGAATACGTGAAATCCACGGGCTGGGACGAAAGCTCTAGCATGGGCAGGGCTGGCGACACGACCCGTGCCCACACACTGGCGGTAATGAAGCGGCAGGAACAGCCCGCATCGCAGCACACAAAGGATGCAGAGAACAACACTGGCGGGAGCAATTTTGATCCAACATGTCACGAAGAGCGGTTTTGATCCCAAGGCTGCAGCTTACAGGCGGTGGGGAAGACGGCTGGCAAGGGGTGGAGCGTCGTCGAAGCGAGTGCAGGCGAGGACGTCGCTGAGGAGAGGCTGATCGCCGTCGACGTTGGCGGTGCCGGCAGGGGGGAGTCCAAGGAGGCTGGCACCGAAGGCACGGGCTGCGGAGAAGGCGAGCAAGGCAGACCAACGGGAGGTGAAGGCAGCGATGCTGGCTGGCCGCATCGGGCGAGGCACGGTCCGGGCGCGGCAGCGCACAAGCAGGCGGACGAACTGAGCAGCT